CATGAAGTGAACCTTCATTCCCGAAGACCGCTACGGGTACCACCTATAGCAATGCACAATCGTAGGATTCGATATCAATGGGCTCTTGAACACAGAAATTGGGCAGAAGAACAATGGCGTTTCGTGTGCTTTTCTGATGAGTCTCGTTTTGGTATGAGACCGGATACAAGACGTATACGACACTGGAGAACCCCTGGACGCCAACAGCGATTAAAATCCTGCCAGGAAGTCCATCCTTATAGTGGTGGAACCATCATGGTATGGGCGGGTATTTGGATCGGCGGAAGAACTGAGTTGATTTGGATCAGAGGCAACCTCAACGCTCAAATTTATGCTGAGACGATTGTATCAGACGTCATCGTTCCTCTACAAGTGCAAATCGGTCCCTTATTTCAGTTAATGCATGATAATGCACGACCGCACACCGCAAGAGTTGTAAGACAGACTCTCGCCGCAGCTAACATCAATGTCCTGCCCTGGCCTGCTCAGTCGCCAGACTTGAACCCGATTGAGCATGCATGGGATATGCTACAGAGAAGAGCTCTGCCGAATATGGAGGGTATCCAGTCGCAAGAAGACCTTTTTTTGTTGTTGCAACGAACATGGGCGGCCATTCCACAGCGTGATTTGGATGAACTCATTTTGAGTATGCCAAACCGATGTTCTTGTGTTGTTAGTGTTCGCGGTAGAAATACGGATTATTAATTGTTTAAGTTACCCAATAAAATTTTAGAGAAAACTGTTATTTCAGTCTTTTTTTCGAACTTTTGTGTTAGTGGTTCAAATGTCAAAAATCCCTTTATTAGGAAAATGGCAAATTTCTTTATTAATGCAAAGGTGACTTGGTTTATCGTTACTGTGACAAACGAAAACACTTTATTTGATGAATCCTTAAAGAAAATTTTAATTAATATCAATCAGGAGAAAAGTTATTGCAAAAATATATGTTGATCCCTAGACACTTTTGATGTGTGTACATAAGCAACTCTCACACACGCACACGTCTGTAAATAAACATTCCATCGAGCGAGCGAGACAAACTGTACGCTTCAACGAAGCGAGAGCGAAACGGCGAGTCCGAACGGCTGAGCTATATTGTTGTCCTTTTCTTAATAACAAAATGGCGATTAGGTACGTAAATAACATTCAAGACAAACTGTGATTTATGAGAAAAATGATTTTACAGTTTTACGAATGAGAAGTGTTGCTGAAGCATTTGTAATTTGATTTTGAACTATTTGTGATCTTTATAGAAGAATCGAAGGCATTGTTTTATCTTTATAACACAGAATTTACGCAATATTGTTATATTAAGTGTACATGCAGCGTGTTTGAATGTCCAATTGTGACTACAGCAAATTGTGATTGTGCACCACAATTTAAGCGGATCACTTTTGAGTCGCCAGTGCCGTATCTACCCTTTTTGTTTTAATCTAAGGTTTGAATTGCTAGAAATTAAAATTGATGCTTAGATATAGGCATTAGCAGCTATAGAGAAACAATTTAGTTATAGTATCGAAGGTTTGATGTTGCTTCTACATAACACAAAAACTCGTGCAAAATATCGTCCTTGTCCGTTTGTCGACGGTCAGGTGAAAATATTGGTATGTGCCTATTGTCTGCTGACGTCAATCAACTTGGGTTACTCTTTTTGCGTCAACAGTCCCGCTTCCCATGGATCGATGGTAACAACCGACCCGAATGTATAATAAATCGATAAGATAAACACAAATAGGCAGATTAGCAATCCTGTAGCAATTGTTGCTTAATTATTTTGCCTCCTTTTATGCCAAATCGTTATTAACATTGACTATCATAAAATTTTCTAGATAAAGTTCCACGCGGACCAGGCAGCGAAGGGACTCGAACCCGCACCCTTCGCTATCCGGGCGAAATGCACTGACCACTATGCTACCGCGGCCCTGACGGCCGTGTCGAATTTTCTCTAGCCTTAGGCTTCAAGCATACGTTACAGCACCATCTCTTAGCATTGTAGGTAGTCCCACAACGTCAAATGAAATACCTTTACAAGTATTGAAAGAAGAAATAGCAATTATAGTTGTTTTTATTTTTTAATCATTTAACTGCTAGATTTAAAACTATTTTTAAATTTAAATTTATTTATTTATCTAGATTTAAATTTATTCTAGTAAACTTTTCTTTAAATTTAAACATCTAGCAGTTTAATGCTTAAAAAATAAAAACATAAGTATTATAAAATTGATATTTTTCTTTATTATCTTCTTTATACTTCATCATTGGCATCATTCTCAGCAGTGGATATCGTATACCTTCAACCCACAGCTGAGTATGAAGATCTCCACACTGATCAGTGCTCCCCCTTCTCAGGGGATGATCACACCAGATGAAGCCTGTTCAGCCCCTATGGCCATAGGCCTCCCCCCAAGTGTGTTAGTTATTAAGAGTCTGATATAACCCTACAGCCGATTGTAGGGATAACGATTTGAGGATTTCACACCCGCTCCGTCTGGTAGGAAAACAAAAAAAGGAATCCGCATACAGTGACTTCTCGCTATCTTCAGTAGAATCTCTACCTGTGATGCCCTGCCCACTGAACGTCGTCCGGTGCGTGGCCAGCACACAGAATCTTTCTGTCCCAACGACCATCGGTTCTCCTCGCTATGTCTCCCGCCCACTGCCACTTCATCAGAGCAATACTTAGAGCAATGTAAGTAGCGTAGATCTCCTGCAGACTTCTTTATTTCAGGGGCTCCCATTTTAGATACTTTTTCGTACGAATTGTACTCGTTGTGCTGTATTTCTCCAGCAGTTCTTTCACATTTCAGCGAGTATATGATTGTGACCGAGAATGAAGAGTGGCTGAGATTATACAATTCCCTGGCGCATTAGCAATTCATCGTCACAACAAGGGGCTAGTTGTCTCGCACTCCGACTCAAAGTTAAAATGAGGGTTGAAGAGTTAGTCTGGACAGCAGGTGGGACGAAATTATGATATGGTGACTCTTTGTCGCACTTTTATCAATCATCATCTTCAGCCTATTAATGACCCCACGACTGGGGGACAGGCCTTCCCTATGGATGGAAAAGGGATATTTGCCGTCACCTACCACGCGGGCCCAGTGCGGATTGGCGGATGCTAACGACTGCAGATGCAGCCGGGACCAACGGCTTAACGTGCCTTCCGAAGCACGGAGGAACTCGAGATAGAAGATTTTTAGTCACCCATCCAATGACCGACCTCTGCGAAAGTTGCTTAACTTCCACGATTGCAGGCCGAACGTGCTACAACCTGCGCCATCAATCTCCTCTTTCTATCAATAGATGAAGATAAATCAGTTTCGTAGATACCTATAAGTGCACATGGATATCGATAGAAAAACTATTTTTGGCGTTTCTTCGTGCGATTTCAATCTTCAAATCGAATGTTTGCGATGTTATCTAAAAACAGACAGGCAGACGATAAAAACAACCATGATGGTTGTTGTACATAAAAAGTTGCCTGTAGTTGAGTTCATCAAATGAATAAAGCACGTATTCGCAAAACTAACGCGAATGAATTGTAGTGTTTACATTATCTGTCCGTTCGCATGATCTATCTATCATATTTTAGTTTTACAACCGTGAATTATAATATAAAACTTACTTCTGTTACTGAGGATAAATATATATTGGTTCAAATCACATCTGGATATCGTTCAGGAATATATTGTTTTAAACTTTCGTGGTCACTAACATTATAGCTATTAACGGGATTGTTACCATGTACCTTGTTTTTTATGAGTCTACGATATTTCGGCACTGTTGCAAGCGCCATGATTACGGAGTAACTGAAGTAATTGCGGTTAGATGTTATTGGCAGACATATCGGTCTACCCTCTGACGTCGTCTTTTACTGCGCTCGATACCCCTACCACTGGTCACATTCTCACTATTCACGCACCTGTTCCCGACACACAATACTCACAGTATCAGATCGCGGAACGACACTTTTTAGATTTTTGCGGTTTTTACACATACGAACCACTGGATTCCAGACACTTGACAATTTAAACCCATCCTCACGATTGAAATTCTTGTGTAATATACGAACTACCACAGCTGCAGTCAATCTTGTATACACCAGGTTTCTCCAAGGGGAATGTCTTTGGGAGACCGTAGAATCTATGACACTTTTTGTATCAAATTATGTGCAACGTTGTAAGTTTTCTAAAATTATGAAACATACAAGTAGAATAGTAATATAATAGCATAGTAGTAGTATTAATACCTATTTTACAGATGCACACAAATCCACAAAAAAAATAGCCTTCACTTGTAACTTCGTCCAATGCACAGTCTAAATGTAGGCAAAAAAAAACTTTGTACCAGACAGGCCAAGCATGATTTTGACAGATCTGTAATCGTATCGCATCGTCAAAACTTCTATGAAAATAAATCAGCGCCCCTATCGGACGTATGAATAAACTAGCTTTTTTGAAACAAATTCGTGCTTGGGTCTATGTTCGTGAGGACGCGAGAGTTCAAACATAAATTACCTATGTAGAATCTAAAAAAAATGTAATAGATATATACGATTACATAAAAGAAAAGTGAGTTGTTATCAAAGCATACTCGTACTTAGCTGTAAACCGTACCGTAAGGGGCTTTTCATTTATTACGTAAGGCGATTTAGGGGCAGAGGGGAGTTGATCATTTCTTATTTTTCCTTACAAGGGCACCTTTGTATGTACAAATAAATATTCCTAAAAATTGATCCTTTGAAATTAAACATTAGGTCAAATCAAACGTGTTGGTATTCATTTATTCCTTAAGATTGTTACGTAATAAATATGGTACATGGTGGGTGTTGGACTGTTCTTATATATAGTAAAAATAGTCTTACTTAATAAATGAATAGTCGCTAACTGGTTCCTTGCTAAAAATCGGAAACCTGAAAAGTATATTGTAGTAGAATCTTTAAGAAATACCTTCTCCGTATAGCTGCAGTAATAAAAATAGTGTGTCTACGAAGATCTCACCTTCCTGGATAGAGAAGCGTTGTGCAGCTCGTCGAGAGTAGGTCGGGGAGCAGCGTGCAACGACAGCACATTCCTATAGTTGTCCAGTCTGGGTAGAGCCTCTCTTGTGAAATGTCTGCGAAACAGAAGTATCTTAAGTTATTGTTGAATTTAAATAAGTCCCGCAGCTAAGTGCCACAACACACGAGTCATTTTTTTCTATCTATCGTGAAAATAAACGTTGAAAGAAGAAACATGAAAAAAAAATTTTTTTCTAGGGAATGTTTTTTTCACGAGTTCAGAACAATCCTCGAATTCTTTGATTTATTTTTAGTTAACAGAGCACATCAGCCGAATGTATTTTTAAAGAAATATACAGGTATCAGGTTTAAAAAAAAACTTTTTTTTATATAAAAACCGAATTCAGGATAAAATGAACGTCCCTGTTTTATTTTCAAAATGGTAAAAAAATTTTTTTTTTTCAGCAACACTATTCAGCAATAAATTCAGCAGCATCCGGCAATAAAAAAAACTCCTTCTGAACCCATTATCGGTTGGTAGGGTAAGCGAGTACATTAGATTGCAATAGAATAAGACAACACTTGGGCAAACTTTAAATTTGATTGTCGTCTCTAAATGCATCCATTGTAAGTTTTATTGTCAAAGTTCTTACTCCCACATATTTCGCTTTGAATATAATAATCACCAAGGGGATAATGGTACATTACAATCATAGCGCACCGCGCTGACCCAAATTGATAGTGTGGGAGTTGAAAATAACAAACAATACTAGAAAACAATTAGAATGATTTATTTATATCAAAAACTAGTGACCCGCCCCTGCTTTGCACGTGTAAACTTTATTAACTCTATAAAATATAGCCATTATCAATTATAAACTAGGGATCTGCACAGGCTTTACACGGGTAAACATTATTAGCGCGATTAAATATAAACCTAAGTTACTGGGGGACCGTGTAGCCTTCTATTGTTGGAAGAATTTGTGAATTCGTTTTTGTAGGTTTCCGACTGTATACAAACGTATAAATTTTACTTTTCATAATACATAAAGGCAGTGGCGGACTAAACTCGTCAGAGGCCCGGGGCGGCAAAGCTGAATGAGGCCCCTCAGCAAATTATTTCGGCTAAATAAACATACATACCTACATTAAGGTACATATTGACTAGAAACGTAGGTGCATATTGATTGACTAGAAACTACGGATTATAATTTCTGGGCGAAGAATTACATATTTCCTTTTCCAAACACTCGAAAATGCACTAACTCAATTCCTCTTATACCATTCATTTACTTTTATACCACAACAAAAAGAAAAACACTTACATTTTTAATGAAATTACTTTGAACGGATAAGATCCTTTATTTAAAATATCAGAACACACTATTATATGTATATTAACGTAATGAAATTTAATACCTATATTTTAAATGAGGCCAATGTTTATTTTTCGACGTAAATTTAATGAATGTTAATAAATGTAGTCGTACAAGAGTGAATTATATGCACTTCATTCATTCAGGGATTCCTGAGGAAGTACCCGCTACAAAGACGGGAATTCCCACAGCATATTGTACGCGTTCAGCAAAGTTAAAAGAATATCAGTAGCGCGTAATAAGTCTAGATGGCTGTAGTGTTTTGATCTTAATGAAATTAAATAAAACTAGTTTAAACGGGATAATGCACGAAACTTTATTTATTTATTGACGTTTCGTAGCCTTTCCAGGCTTCGTCGTCAGAATAAAACTTTTGTTTAATTTGTCGAGCTACCTTCGAAAGACTTTTTTCGAAAAAAACCTGGAAAGGCTACGAAACGTCAATAAATAAATAAAGTTTCGTGCATTATCCCGTTTAAACTAGTTTTATTTAATGAGTGATGTGCGTGAAAACCTAAGAAACTTAATGAAATTATTTAGGTACTAAGCACATTTTTAGTCTTGTTTAGAATTTGATCAGGGGAACGCGGAGGCATTTGGGGGTCCCCCAAGACTGGAGGCCCGGGGCGGGCCGCCCCTTCCGCCCCCCTATTAGTCCGCCACTGCATAAAGTATAACTAAGGCCACGTTGTTTTATCAATAGGTTAATTTGAATACAGTTAAATTCTACGAAAAAAATAACCATATATCAAAATTTTACCCATTTGCCAGGTATGTATTTGACTACCGATGAAGCAACGCGGGCTCAATAAAGGCAATAATTATAAACCCCACGTTGGGCGCCAATTTAAGCGAGTTAAAATAAAATAATTATAAACCTGAAACTCTTCCCATATTTGGTGTCAGTGGCAGTGAGAGGGTCGTCACTCTCCATCCCCGATCCATCCGAGTCCTCTGTGCCGTCATCTTCTGCCGTCTTCTCTTCCATCTAGAAATAAATAGAAACAATTTCATCTAATGTCTAGCGGCCTGCCCTCGCTTTGCTTCAGTGTGGAGCAGTAGTGTAGCTAACTATAGTTTTTGTTGTCAGGCTTGTATTATACACAATGACTTTCTTTATATTTTTAGTTTTCAATTAAAGTGGTACGAAAATTACATTAAAATCTTTATAATCTAGTATAATATATCTTAAATACATTCCCCGAGCTTCCTTCAAACCTCGATGTGCAAATGATTGATTAAATTATCATTATTGTGAAATGATTAAATTATCCATACGGATGAAAATGTCTGTCTACCGAATTAGATGAAATTTGGAATAAAAATAGTGCCCGGAAAAGGGCAAAAGACAGTTTCTTATTTTATCCCGGATGAATGTTGAGTTCCTTTGTGATTCTCGAAAAAACCAACTACAAAAACTTAAAGATTTTTATGTGTTTAGTTTACATTGACCCAATGATGAAGATAATATACACTCGTCATCTGATCAAATAGTTTCGATTATGACATAATGGAAATGAACTCCTATACACAGATGTATAGTGGGAATTTTTAATAACAAACTATCAATCGTGTTAGTCAAGTTCATTTTTGAACTGCATTGTTATTTTTCACGAATCTTTCTAGTCTTTTTGGATTGGATGAGTCAGTTCCAAATTCATATCTTACTCGTAGTCATAAAAAGTGAAAATTAACTAGAAAGAAAGATAAAAGTTATTCTAATTCATCTTATTTACCATTTAACGCTAATGTAAACAAATGCTTAAAATGAGCGTGTTTAGGAAAATTTACGACACCAGTTGTCGCCACTATGACATGAGATATTTCTTATGAAGTTTTTGGTGCGAATGAATCGAACGGGTATTTAAATAAATCGATAGATTATGACGACATACGTAATTTGATTATACCTTAGTCTCAATGCTACCACCTGGCGCCCATCATTCCAGAAAACCCTCATTACAAATGCCAACGAGATGGGAAGATTAAAAACGCAATTCGTGAAAGAGTAAATAAATGAAACCGAAGTAAACATATCTGTGACCACAAAACCACAGAACAAATAAATATACATCACATATGTCCGGTCTAGCCTAGCTAGCGAGACAAACTTATAAACATTTTTATACGCCCTGACAATAGATACATTCAAATACCGGTCTTCTTTCAACGTAATTAAGTCGCTTTTAGGATCAAATTGTAACCACTAAAGTCATTTACTGCAACTTCACATGCAGTTCATAACTGAAAGCCTTTGTTGATAACAAACTTTACAAGGTATACATCACATCAAGGTACCTATATATAATTCTAGCAATTAAATGCTAAAAATAAAAATATTAAAAAGCTATATATAATCGTTATCACCTATATACATTTTGATAACATTAAAACACAGGCCACACCGGCTGCGAAATTAGGTTTGCTTCGCTATGCTACTAGCAGTAAAGGTGTCAAGCAACTTTCGCAATGCCCGGTCATAGGATGGGTGACCAATTTACTATCCCGAGCTACTCCGTGCTTCGGCAATCACGTTAAGCCGTTGGTGACGACTGCACTGCATTAGTAAGCACCAATCCGCACTGAGACTGCGCCATATGCCATTTACAACCTGGTAAGAGTTGATTTGTCTGCAAGTTGGCGAATAAATAATCATTCTATTTTGTATGACTAAATAAAAAAAAACGACCTTGCTTGATATAAATCTTCATAAGGACCTTTAAATATTGCTTCTGTTATGTGGAACAGATGGTATCCATCAATATTTATACACATTTGTGCACGTTTTATCGCATTTTCCGTGATTTCCGCAAGATTTTCAAACCTAACATGCCAAACATGACTTCCTATATATGTTTGAATAATCAACCACCATGGAAGCCGGAAGTAACGGTACAGGAGGTAGGTGTGCGTTTACTTTAAAACCGTGACATTGCCGTAGGTAGGTACATTTCAATCTATGTGGATTTAATTTTGACCGAAATACATTTTATCTCGATATTTCGTACTTCTGCCAGTCCAACACAATAATGCTTTGTTTAACATATAGGTACATTTAGGTGGTCATACAATAAGTATTTAATGTGTTAAATGAATTAATAAGAGCATTGTAATAATAAACGCTTAGATTAAAACAAAAAAGTGAAGATATGGCACTCGCGGGTCAAAATGATCCGCTGAAATTGTGGTGCATGACCACAATTCGCTTTAGTCTCAATTGGACATTCAACCACGCTGCATGTGCACTCAATATAACAATATTGCATATATTCTGTGCTATAAAGATTAAACAATGCCGTCGATGCTTTTCTAAAAAACACAGATAGTTCAAGATCAAATAACAATTTTCACATACAGCTCCGCCGTTTGTAGAAAGAGGACAAAAAACGCAGTCGCCAAGGCAAGCGACGCGGACTCACCGTTTCGCTTGCGCTGCAGTGCTGCGTTGAAGCGTACACAATATAAAATGTATCTCGCTCGCTCAATTGAATGTTTATTTACAGAAGTGGGCGTGTGTGAGAGTTGCTTATGTAGTTGATTCGGATCACATTTTAGCTATTAACGGGATTGTTACCATGTACCTTGTTTTTTATGAGTCTCCGATATTTCGGCACTGTTGCAAGCGCCATGATCACGGAGTAACTGAAGTAATTGCGGGTAGATGTTATTGGCAGACATATCGGTCTACCCTCTGACGTCGTCTTTTACTGCGCTCGATACCCCTACCATTGGTCACGTTCTCACTATTCACTCGCACCTGTTCCCGACACACAATACTCACAGTATCCGATCGCGGAACGACACTTTTTTGATTTTTACGGTTTTTGCACATACGAACCACTGGATTCCAGACACTTGACAATTTAAACCCATCCTCACGATTGAAATTTTTGTGTTTGGTTATTTCAATCGCTTCCCTGACCAATCTTGGTATGTAGTGGCGTTCTGTCGAGATGATTTGTGGATTATGGAGCTCAATCCAGTGATTCGGACCCGAATCGATTAAATGTTCCGCGATAGCTGATTTCTGCGTATCATTGTTTCTGACTGCTTTTATGTGTTCTTTCATTCGGCACGCTATTGTCCGCTTCGTTTGGCCAATATATGAACTACCACAGCTGCAGTCGATCTTATATACACCAGGTTTCTCCAAAGGGAAGTTGTCTTTGGGAGATCGTAGAAACTGTGACACTTTTTGTAAAGGAGTGAAGACAGTAATCAGTGAGTACTTATTAAGTATGTTCGAGATCTTGTCTGTCACTCCTTTGATATATGGCAAAAATACTGGTTGCCTGCTTACTATGTGTGTCTGGTGCCTTAATTTGTGTTTGGGTGGAAACTGTCCCTTGTATCCATTATTCTGTAGGACCCGCCGTACATACTCCAACTCTTCGTGCAGGTGTTCCTTGTCACACAAGTCATATGCACGGTTTGTCAGTGAAGTCACTACAGAATTTAGATGTCTGGGGTGGTGATGCGAAGAGGCGTTGAGATAACGGTCTGTGTGTGTGAGTTTGCGGTGAATGGAATGACTCAGCGAACCATCATTCCGCACCCGAATCTTTACGTCAAGAAATGCCAGACTTCGGTCTTCTTCCATCTCATATGTGAAATGCATTTTGGTATGGACTCCATTTAAATTTGCCAAATGAGCCTCGACATCTTCTTTGTTTCCTCTCAATATACAAAATACGTCATCAACATACCTCTTCCATAGTGCAATTTCTGTGGGGGCGGTGGCGAAAGCTTTTTCCTCAAAATACTCCATCCATATATTGGCAACGACTGGAGCTACCGGACTGCCCATTGCGACCCCATCTATTTGGAGGTAGTACTGACCCTGATATATAAAGAAGTTCGTCGTCAAACAATGATGCAAAAACTTGGCATATTCCGTCGGGATGTTATTGTCTTGCAATTTCACCTTTACTACTTCCAAACAGTCCACCACAGGTACATTTGTGAAAAGTGATTCCACGTCGAAACTAACCATCAAGTGATTGTCTTCCACCTTGTTTTGGTGTAAGATTTCTACGAAGTGGCGGGAATCTTTTACAAACGACGATGTTCGTCCCACTATTGGCTGCAATATTTTTGCTACGTGCTTGGCCAGTTCATACGTAGGTGAGTCTATCTGACTCACGATCGGACGTAGCGGCAAAGGTCAGTGTGAACTATACCAAATACATCTCAAGTGCAGTGAAACTCTTTCTACGAGTGATTTTGATGTTTGCGATCGTGTTACCTACTTACAAGCTCAACGTACCAGGGAACTTAGTGCTATGAAACAAGATCGTAAGTTCGAGTTATTGTTAAAAAGACAAAAGTCTCATGTCCCCTACTACGAGAACTCACTACCAACTCGAACGGTCATCAATTTGTCGAGCATTGAGTTAACAGACGCTGCACAGTCAGTTCTTGAAAAAGGGATGAATTTCGCTATTACACCTAGACGCATTCCCTATGAGGAGGTCATTGGGTCGGTTGAAGAAGGTGTCATGCGTAACAAGATTCCAGCAATCGATGCGGACACGCTAAGACAAGATGTTGCTGTGGTGTTACGTAATGCGAGGCCACCAAGACCGAACATCACTTCCTCCGAATCAGCTGCGTTACAAGATCTTCGAAAGAACAATAACATAATAATACTCAAAGCTGATAAAGGGAATGCGACTGTCATAATGGACATCACTGAGTATGAAAGTAAGATTCATAGTCTACTCACTGATTCCAACACTTATATTAAGTTGAATTACAATCCAACGGCGAGGACTGATCGAAGCATCCGCTCACTTATTAAAGAATGTGCCTACGCTCTAGACGACGATACCGTCAAATATTTGCTACGTCCTAGAAACGTCCAGCCTCCAAAACTATATGGACTGCCTAAGATACACAAGCTGAATGTGCCGCTACGTCCGATCGTGAGTCAGATAGACTCACCTACGTATGAACTGGCCAAGCACGTAGCAAAAATATTGCAGCCAATAGTGGGA